GGGGGGGGGGGGGGGGGGGGGGGGCTCTCATATAAAAATGATGAGGGTGCTCGTTGTACCTTTTAGGGGTGGAAAAAAGCGCTTTTGGTAGCTCTTAGGGCGTTAAGCTTCAAAAGGTCCACAGTCGGAGCTTTTGCGGTACCTTTTAGAGTATTGAGCCAAAAACACACGACAGAAGATAATGTGTTATGATAATGTAAGAATTGGTACCTCTTAGAGGTGAAAAAATTTCAAGCCATGCCCACCAAATATGGTCTTGGTACCTCTTAGGTGTTCTTTTCAAAATTGCCTATGAGCACTTCTGTCCTTGGGAGTTCTCCCACCTCTCCAGGCCAACAGGGAGGTGACAAAAAGAACAAAATCTCAGGCACCTTACTTTATAACCTCTGAATGGCCACCACTATAAAAATTCACCACTATAAAATTCCCACTCCAAATAATTTTTTTTTTCCAAAATAGCATTGATTTCAGTTTCACTGATTAGTAATAAAGACAGTTTAGATTCCTTTGTCTATTTCTTTTCTATCTTGTATATTTTCAATCTTTTTGTATGTGCCTAAGGTATGAACAAACCCAAAGAGCTTTCATTTATGGAAAGAGTGAGATAAGAAGAACACAGTTGTCAATACTATTTCTTTAAAAATCGTACATGTAGGAGAATCAGGGTAGAGATTCCCGATACAGCTTATTTATAGCAAACTCAAGTATTGTTTTACCGTAGATGTGCTAATCCACACTGTGTTACAATAAATTCTTGAAGTGCTTGCTCTTCTATTACATTTAAATTCTGTAAAATAACTTGAGGAACTGCCATGTTATGAGCCTGGAAAAAAAAATAAACAGTATCAATTAACATCTTGCTGGGGACAATGCAGTAACTTTTTGAGTGAGGAGGCTTAAACATGACTTCCTAAGCATGAGCTTACTAGGGGGATCTGAGGAGTATGCTTCCCAGAAAATTATGTGTGTCCCATTTTAAGTCTTCTGAAATAGCAGAATATGCATTTAAAATGGTAACTGTTAATAACAAGGGAACCATAACACAGTTATAAACTTGCAGGACATAAAAAGCAATCTTTTCACTGTACAAGTGTAAACACTAAAATGTTCCTAAAACAGATCCTGATTTCAATTCTCCTTGGTGCCTGCACTCATCCTAGCAACATTGCCTGTGCCAGGAGGGTTTAGTAAAATCACGTCATAGAATAAGTTGAAGCTTACATAATTTCATATCCTTTTCAGAACATAAACTATTGGTTTGTCAATAACCTTGAGCTGACATCCTTGTCCTCTGTACAAGGCTTCTGAAATATTATGTGTGTGGGAAAACCCTGCTGTTCTAAATTTAACCCAAAGGCAAGAATCAAAGGTGATGCTTTAGGGGAATAAAATAAAAGAAATCACATCAAGGTCGAGGGATGAATAATTAATTTCTTTTGTGTTGTTCCTCCAAGCCTTGGAGCCAAGTTAGACCCTCAAGTTAGAATTGTAAAGGAAAAAAAAGGTCTTACCAGTAGTTGCAGTCAAATGACAACATTGTACAAGTGTGTAGCCTGGGTAGCAGCCGTTTGCTTTCCTTTTCCAAAAAAAGCACGTGAAGGGAACGAAAACTGTGAGCCCCCTCCCCATTTCTCCCCAGTTTTTTGCTCACCCCAAGTGCGCTCCTCCTTTGCTCGCTGGATCGATTTCTCCTCCTGGAAAAGGAAAGCAAATGGCTGCTACACAGGCTAACAAGTGTTCTTTTCGACCAAAACCATGACTTATAGCTTGAGCATGATAACCTTAAGAAATAATGCCTTTATGGGAGATTAAATGTGTTACTCTTGATCCTTTCTAGGTACACAGATGCATTTAATGAGCAACTTACCATCATGGTGATGACTATATCTCGTAACTTGACGGCCACCAAAGGCTTCTCCTCATAATTTATTTTCAGAGCTTCTCCAATCCTTTTCTGTCTGGCATGAAATCCTTCTACAAGGTTTGGCCCTTTAAGAACAGCATATTTAAATCCACTCTTTAAATATCCACAGTAAGTTATATTTGGGTACAAGAACTCTTTGCACTCATCCTCTGTGTGCATGGTAACAACACCTACAAATTAAAAATGTAAACAAAATTAAGACTTGTGGGTTTCAACAAACACATCATTGTGATCTTAGAAAAACAATTTGACAATCTATTCACAAATGTGTCCACCTGTTAGTGCATACAGCGGAAACATTAATATAACAAATTTCCTTGTAAAATGAACAAATGGGTATTGTTTAGCCAGACAATAATGTATAGAAAAGGACAAAAACTCTGCTACTAAAAATGAAATTTATCTATTTTTCTATCTATTTAAATATATATTCTGAAAAGCCCAGTTAGGATGACTAAAGTATGTATCTAATATGTAAATCCTCGCTCTAATAACAAACAAAACCCAGAAGCCAAAACTTCAGTCTACCATTTTTTTTTCACTATTCTGATTTATTTTATTAGTATGTTTTCCATAATAATTTTGTTTTTATTAGCCTTCCCTAAATACAATACGGTAATTGCGACACTAACAATACTTACGCTGCTACCCCTACTTTAGCCTGCGAACACAGACGTATTTCCAGCTGTCACTTGGTTCTGCTGAACCAAGTGACAGCCAGAAATACATCTGCGTTCGCAGGCTACCCCTACTTACAAATGTACTTATGATACTTACGATAAATACACTACTTTACAATATATATATTTTTTCTATTAGCTAAACCCAACATACAAAACACTACTTACATTAGGTACGTTGTTTTATTCTACCCTGACATATCAAATAAATGTCATCAAACATATCAATAGAGATGGAAATCCTTTGATCATGATATACATGTATACCATTGTCAGTGATAGACTGAAATGTCTCTGTCAACATCTCAGTGTATACTTCCAGAGGGCATTATGACATTACCAGCAGTGGAAATCCACAGTAACACCATTAAACTTCAAAGCACTTGTTAACCAAATGCTGATATAAGGAAGATTTCAATTAATTCCATAAAATTTGTTTCGATAATGTTTCATTTATAACCAACCCCTGATATAAAGAGCACATTTTATTTCCCAGCCCACTGACACAACGTACATTAATGCATGTTTAAATGGCTCATTAGTCCAGATCCCAGGTCAGGGGATTACAGGGGCTGCCTATTGAATCAGTGCTGCACCTTAAACCCAGGTTTATAGCACGAAGTAACTCTAGAGGGGTTTTGCTACTCCCTAAATGGCATTACAAGGCCAAGCCTGGGGGGGTCTCCGATATGAAAAGGTCAGGAATGCTAGTCAGAAAAGTTGAATTAAACCCTTAAAGGAAACCAGTCTGGGTGTAGCTTCAGCTTTATTTGACCCCTAAAAGATACCCCTTAAAATGGAATTCATAGGTTTGATTACTAGTTGCTGTTCAGAAAGAGCCTGTGCTAGTAACCGGATACGAGAACCCAGCAGAATTTGAGCCTAAAAATTGAAAGGAGAGCATTTTTTTATTGTTATTTCTTTGAGTGCATCCTAAAAGATACTTTGGCAGCTAAAAATAGTGGTGTTTCATCACCAACACCCTAAGTGAGACCAGCACCCTTGATTTATACCCCTAAGCGAGAAGACAAGCATCCCTGATTTTTTCACATGGGAGTCCACCGCCCCTACCCCTCCCCCCTCCATGCCCCCTGCCAGCATTACTAGTCCATCACAGTAACCCATTGGGTAAGTCAGATTTCACCAACAGGTATTAATTATTTTATACTCCTGGTGGAGGGAGTAATATAAAACACTTGCTTTACTTGACAAAGTTTAAAACTCACCTCTTAACTGTTCCTTTCCAAACATCCCTGCCATCACACATCTTGCAGAGTCAATTGTCCTTTGTATATTAGATGTACGTATACTGAATTTATAAACAAAACAGATTTATTCCTCTGTATCACGCATCTACTTGAAACTGATAAAAACTTACAGTAAGTATAGATCAAAACAAATAGAAAATATCCAGTCAATATCCTGACAATAACCTCCAGATTTATATATTAATTTTATGGACAGTATCTGTGCAGCGTTGCAACAGTAACACTCAAGGAAACTGTAAGCTTGCAGAAACAAAGACATATCCACGGAAATTTTTGGAAGCCAAGGAAACTTATCATCCTTCAAATATTTTAAATTTTACAAAGAGGTGTTCTGTCCTCGGGGAGGACCTCAATTAATTAATCACCAGGCTGTTAGACATAAGTGGAAGGCACAGTGGCCTCATGGTTAGTGTGCTCATCTCTTGATCAAGTGATCTGGGTTCAAGCCCTGACCAGGAATATTGCCTTGTGTTCTTGGGCAAGACACTTTATTGTCATAGTACCCCTCTCACCCAGGTGTATAAATGGGTACCGGCAAATTTAATGCCGGGGGGGGGGGAAACCCTGCAATAGACTAGCATCTCATTCAGGAGGGAGTTAAAATACTCCTAGTCACTTCATGCCACAGAATCCGTGATAAGCTCTGGCCTGCTGGGCCACTTGGCTCATATGCAGACTTTCTCTGTTAGACATCAATATAATTCTCAGGGATGTACTGTAGTTAAGAAAAAACTAAGTCAGCTCATTAACTTGTTCAGCCAGCTTTCTGGCCCATGTAATGTCCGTCAAAATTATCATGAGTATATCCTGTAGGCAGGGATGAGCTAGATCTTTCAGTTGTTGAAATCAGCTGGTAGCAGACTCTTAGCTACCTCCCTGAATAATGTACCAATGGTAAAATCGTACCCCAACATATCATTCCATACCCCTCTCCCTATGGAAAGAAGGTTCTTTAGGCTTGTCAGAAACTTCTACGGGGTGGATATGTGCATATTTTCTGAAATTAAACAAGTTAAAAATATTACGGTGAAAAGTTATAAACATACCACAGATTTAAACTTACAAAACTTCGTGAGGACTGAATGTCTCCTGTACAAATTTAAGATCATCTATGTACAACTTGCCGCACTTTTTGCCCAGATCATACATTTGTTGCTGCCCTACTTTGGTGAGCTGGCCTTGGGGACTTCCACCCTAAAAAGAATGAGAAGAATGCTGGTTCATAACAGCCTGTTCTTAGATTAGATTTAGATTTTGACCATAACCCAATGTGGGTATAGGGTCAGACACTCTCCTTTGAGACCCCATTAGAAATTTCTGGATACTGTATATTTTACTCAAAAGTTAACAGGATACAGGATATTTTGAGAAAAAATTAATGGGATATGGATATTTAGAACAGATCTCCCTAAGTTTTGAAACTGGAACTGTTGGATACGGGATATCTAGGCCAAAACTTAACAGGATATGGGATGCTCTGACCCCCCATAATGGGGCCTCACTCTTGAGAGGTTTGAAATTCAGACGGGGGGTATGCATAACCTCCCTAACACAGGCCTCGGAAATCGGTAATGAACAAGTTTATGCAGACATCAACGTTAAAGCGATGAGAGTGACTTTCAGGTCATTCCCAAATGGTTTTTTAGGCCTCTCATTTCCCTGGATATAAAATCCCCCAATCTAAACCCTTTTACCGGCATTTTACGGTATCGGTGTAATAATAAAATAATAATAAGCTTAATAAATAATAAATTAATACATGTATCGGTATAAGATTAACCTCAAGCAATACAAACAAGACACTGATACATGTAAGTTAATAAAGATGGTGAAAGATGGTGAAAGATGGTGCAACAAGACACTACCTTTAAAATTTTCTTCATCTGGCGATCGTCGTATTTAGAGAACGGTCTGGCCCCTCCAGAAACGTGTTTGAGCTCATAGTCAAAGTCGGTGTATGGAAGAGCTCCCATCAGAAGGTCCGCTTGCCAAGTCACAGGTTCTAACTCTTGACATGGAGCCGGGAAGATCGGTGTTCTAGCACCATGCCGAAAGGCAATTTGAACCAAGACAAGTTCTAAATTCGAGTTCGGTGAACTATTTCTTGTTCTGTCTGTTACATCTTTGGATATCTTAAGTGCTGCTCCAGCAGCAACAGTGAAAGTGGAAAGCCTGAAAAGCCGACTGACAGCGGCCATGTTTTTCTTAATTCGTGTCACGTGACGGTTCCACTTGAAACGGGGACCTGTCGGCTGTGTGTTCTTCGCGCTGTTGCCTGATTTCAAGCCGAAAGGACTAGGCACGAGTCTACAAATTATGGGATTAGCAGCTATTGATCCACATAGTCAAAAAGTGCACACCAAACTTTACAAAATCCCCAAGTTTGGTGCAAATACACCCAATAGTAAGCAAGATACAACCATTTGAAAACATCAAAATTTACAAAAAAATGTATGGCCATCCGGACGCTGTGTCCGGAGGACCAAATATTTCTGTGTAATTTTGGCGTTTTTAAATGGCTGTATCTCACTCAAAACTAGCCTGATTAACACTAAACTTGGGGAATTAGTGTATCTCGGTGTGCTCTTTCTGACTATGTGGATCAGTAGTTGCTAATCCCAATCCTCCGTAGGAAAAAAGATGGCGACAGATACATTTACCAATAGTTCTTAGCGCACGAAAACCTTAACAACGTCCATAAAAACGTATAGAAACGTTATAAAATCTTCAAACTTAGGCTACTCAATGTCCTTAGTACAGCGCAAATATTGTAAAAATTTCACTTTCTTTGTGTCTCGTAGGCTGTGTTAGGTTTGCAAGGCATTGTAGTAAAATGTACAGCCGCTATCTTTTTTCCTACGGTGGATTACAGACTCGTACCTATAGTCCTTTTCGGTTTGAAATCAGGCAATGTGAGGCTAGGCGGGAGTTAAGTTGGGTTCCTTGGGTAACCATTTTGCGACACCTTTAAAAATTTTAAAATCGGGGTTCTCTAAGATACTATTGCATACTAGTGCTCAGTCCGTCGAAGAGTTAAGGTTAAGGCCGGAAGACAGGAGACTAGGTGTGTGGGCCTTCACTTTAAATCTGCCAAGGGGTCTGCCAATGACAATGCTGAATTCTTTGAGCAAGGTTACATACATATTGGGCCATACTCTTTCCCGTGTTCACCCGTCTCCCCGTGATGGGAATACCGGCATAGAGAAAAAAATAAATCAGATTGATCAAATACGAAAGGAATCCACAAAACACATGGATAGTTCCGCTGTGACGAGGGTGGTGACGTATTACAATGATCAGATGCTACGTTTGTGTATATGACTGAAACATCTGCACCGAGTAGAATCTGTCCATCATGAGGCAAAGTACAAAATTGGAGTTTCTAGCAAGTTAATATTGTTACAAACGTGATTTTACAATGATCTGGATCTTTACTCACGAAACTGCTAGGAGTTTGGCTACAGAGGATAGTACAGTGCTGAATGTACTGAGTGAATGTCATTGAAGTTTACTGGTGTCATCAGTACTGACAGTGCTAAATTTAGGATTACCGCCGGCCTAGTGCTGAATATAGCCTGCGAGCAAACGTCTACTACTGATATAATCCCTTTCACGCTGGAAAAGTGAAAGGAAACAGTTTAGACGTCTACTCTATTCTGAATAGAGCTTATCTTGTTTTGCCAACCATCAGCAAAATCAGGTACTGACTTACAACAGGAAAAAGATAGCACCCGGAAAACACTGAACTAATATGTCTAATATGATCCTTCGAGAATATGTTTACCATTAAATCACTTGGAGTGTATAGCTCGTGCAAATACTTGAAATGTTCCATTTATTGTGGTATTTCCCTCAGGTCAGTCTATTCAAACTGACGCCGTAAAATCTATTCTTGAAGTAATCAATTTTTAGCATTGCATACCCGATTTCTGTCATGGTCTGGCTTACAAAATTCACCTGTTTTAGTTTTGTAACATTTGTTTACGCCAAAACTGACGAAAGCAAGGATGAAAAAATAATACATTTAACTGAAGCACGAATCACAGTCCTTTCGTATTGTGTAACTGAAACTGAATTGTGTTCCAACTTGATTGAACCTCGCAACATCAGTTATCAGTCCAAACTGGTCCAAATCTATCGACCCAGTTGTAACAGAAATCAGAATCCAGAGTTGCATCCAGCTGTTTTAACAAACGGGATGTTCTTCTTCAGACATAATTTGCGACAACTCATAACAACGAACTGTAAGAAGCCAACAAAAAAACAGCAACATCCATCGCCCTATTGGCCTATATTGCACAGTTCCAAACGCTCTGTGAACAGGTCAATCGAAAACGCTCTCCCGGCATTCTTTCCAAATAACCAACCGTGTCAGGGACTCAAGAAAAAGAAAGTAAATGGAATACCGGATGATCGCTATCCCCGATGAAATTACGAGGAAATGCACCGTGACTCGAAGATTTCTTTCAACACCACTGGACACACGGATATTGGTTTGAAGTGACTATTAGTGTCACTGACATTCCATACGTTGCTCACAATTTGTCTCAAAAAATCAATTTAGGAGATCAAGTAAGTCGTAAGGCCCCCGCTGAGATACCATCACTTGCCATCAACTGAGGGAAACAAAAAGTTCGATTATTGTTTGTACTTATTGTATTGTTTGAACACACGATCCCTTAAATTAATTGAATTCGCCAAAATTTCAGAAGTGGCTTATTAGGTGATCCGCATGATTTTTCATTCCTTTTATTGGAGTTAAGGTTCATTTCCGATGCTTAAAATGGAGGAATTTGCCGACTTACCACTAATGGGGACGATTTATTGTGCTATCTAGTTCACAGAGCACCGAAGTATGAAGAAAACACTGTATCATAGTTAGTCAAATTTAGCGGAAATTAACTCGTTACGATGAAGACCTACAAGGAAAATGTCTTTAACTGGCTGCTGAGAACTTCACTGAAGAAGAAAGCAGTTTATAGAAACTAAAAGATAAAACGAGATGGAGAGGGAGCGGGTAAATTAAACAAAGCGTAAGCTTTTATCGCAGCATGAGATGATTGCAATAAACAAACAAGAAAACACGCAAACTATAGCACGTGCGCTAACTGCAAACAAAGAGAGCAATTAATTAATCAGAAATTCCGATAATGAAGCTTCAGGCGCCGTGAAAGTAAACCCCAACACATCAAAAGGACTGGCCGTCCTTCATGAGAACGTGCAAAATCGTGGTGAGACTTGGAAATCGAAAGGTTGGAAGGGTAGCGGTTGGTTGAGATTGCCTGACAAGTTGTTGTTTTTTTGTATCAGTGCCTATCACACTATCAATTACAACATGAAAATAGCCACTAAATGCTAAGATTACTAGTAGCGATACTGTGATGATAAAAGCAGGATACACGTCAGCGTATCACCTCAATTGGGCAAGGCTGATCAACAGCTGAAAACGCTTTACTAAGTGATTCTTAATTAATCAAAAAACTGCATCAATGATGTGATTGGTTAAAAGCCAGCTATTCTCGCTCTAACAAAAAACCCGCTCATTACCTGCGCTGTAAGGAAACAAAGCAAAAGTTTGGCAGCGTATGACCAACCCATTCGTTACATGGACTGCTTCCCATTCAAAGTAAAAGCTCAGTCACTGTAATGAACCGGAAACCCGTAAAGTAATAGAAGAGGCAACGTGGTTGAGTGTTGTTGACTGATTCATTAAAACAAACAAAATCTTTGCTTTCAGTGGTATTCTAATAACACGTAGAACTGAAGGCAAATCATGCAAAGACTCCTCTCCATTTACTATGATCAGTTCGTTTTCATACGCAGTACAGTTTTGACTACTTGTGACTGGTAACTACTGCAGCATTAATTTCCCAAGGGAAGGGGTGAGGGTGATTTAACCACTAGTATCTGATAACGGTATGAGAAAGCTCTTTAGAGTTTTCAGGGGAATTCCAATACAGAGGAACCACAATCCACCTTGTTGGGCGTGGTCTAAGTTTTTTTCACCCAAACTAAGAGCTAGCGATTGAGACTCCTTTGCTGACGAGTGACATATAACACTACCAATTGTCAAAATTAGGCTGCATCAGAAACTTTTGACTGTAGCACCCCAATTGTCGACAACTGCTAGTTCCTGCGTATTTGCGACTTTTTATGAAAACTCAAGTTATTAAAAAGGGATATTAGTGTGTAACAACTGTAAACTTCAGTGGAATAGTGTATGTGTGTATTCGGGGGTGGGTGAGTGGGGAAGGCGTTTGTGAGCGAAGCCAGAATATTTTGAGCACAAAAGAACAGCCTACTTCCTCCAAGCGCGCAGAGTTCCATCCTCGTCTGGAGACTGTCAGGTTGTCTAAGGGAAATGAATCATTGCTAATTTACTACCGGTCCACGAATGCTTAAAAAGTTCATGAAAGTGACTAGGCGATCATCAAACTTAGTAAACGGAAACCTGAAAACCCGAAAACCTAGAAAGCTGCATGTGAAAAGCACTAAACACATGCGCATGCCGCATGATATATGGACGTGCCAGTTGGGTTGGACAGGTCAATTAATCAGCGGAATTAATCTCTCCTTAAAGACAATTAAATCGTTTATCAAAGATTTGTATGCACTCTGTCCAAATTGCGATCACAGAGAAGAGCCACCTGCTGCGAGTGAGACTCCTGGGACTGCAGAACACAAGGGCGTTCTTGTTTTCTTGAGGCTGAAAATTGATCGACGAAAACAGTGCGCAACACTGAACACCAGTTTTTTACCAAAGGTGCGCGCCAAAATGACAGAATAGAGGGAACGGGGACTGCGCAGTGGTGAGAGCGCTTGCCTCCCACCAATGTGGCCCGGGTTCGATTTCGGCCCCTTTCCATAAGTAGGTTGAGTTTGCTATTCGTTCTTGCCTTGCTGCGAGGGTTTTTCTCTGGGTTCTCCAGTTTTCCGATCCTGAACAAAACCAACACTCCAAATTCCAATTGGACTAGGACAGGGGACCCGCTTGAAAATCGGCTAAAGCTGACGTGGCTTCCTCTCTAAACCGTATTTTTTTTATTTTATTCATTTTAATAGTCGCTGTACGTGCGCTGGATGTTATGATTTCGTGTTTTACTGGAAACCCGAAAAGGAAGCGACAATGCAGCAACTATTGTCTTCGGAGGAATCAATTATTGATCTCAGGTTACAAGATCATGGTCAGTGATGATGTATTGGAATGAGTCGGTCGATGGCCATTACATCTCCATCACGGCAAATTCGAAACTTAGATGTCCGACAGATCCTTGTATACCTTGCCAGCTAATGTCTGAAAACCATACCGATCTGTCAAAAGTTTCAGCTCAGAAAAAAAGAGAAAAAAATGCGGAAGTTCTCGTTTCGTGAGCAGTTTGTCTATGTCCGAAATGTGGCTATTAAATTCATACAGAGTATACAGTGTTTTTTTTGCATTAGTATTGTTCAAATAGATTAGAATAAATCCTTTCAACAAACATCATTGCACATAAAAAATGCTTAGCGTCTGTTTCATTCAACAAGCAACCCTGGAATTCTAAACACTATAATAACTGCGACAATTAACTTTCTCAACTTGTCATCTGACTTCAACTAGAGGTACTTTTAAGGTCTTGCACACCGCCCCTAAGTTCACTATATTTCTGTGGTTGATAACCTTTAACCTGGAACAAAATAAAATAGCCTTTTACAGAAATATACTGAATGTTTCAATATTGGGACAATACCCACTCGTTCAATGTAATCGTTTTTTGGGGCATCAATTTATGACAATGTCTTTAATAGTCAATAAAACAAATGTACGAATATTTCAACGCAGTTTTTATGTCTTTTTTCTATACATGCAAAGAATTTAATTTTCTGTGGTGTTTTTCAGTTTTGGTAAATGGCAAATGTGCTTATACAGGGCGAACCAAAAGATGGCCGCATAAATTACTAAAATTAACTATGGGATAATTTTTTTTACAGGGCGTCGATCAGATTTTGTTGTTAGGCGAATCCGTTTGAAGCTATTTGTCCTATAAAATTCTACTGAAACTGGTCAAGTTAGTCTGTTAGTCTTGTAGATATAAAATGATATCTGGCACGTCTCGAATCAGATACACAAAATCGACTAAAGTTTGTTAAACTCCCAAGCTGACTGATTTACCAAAGTCTTTCATAATTAAACTCGTCTCTACCTTCATTAACTCTGTTTATTTTACGTTCATCTTTTGACACTTCAAAAGTGCGAAGTGACTCCAACATAAATAATAGCAAAGACCCTCTCGGCGCCTCCAAATTAAAAGCTGAAGATTGCAACTATCTCGCCTTAATTTCCCCACCCTTTCCACTAATAGGTTTTGTTGTGTTAAATCAGCTGCCAGTCACAGCATTATAAGAGTTGTAAACAAACTTCATAACCAACTTTCCACTCGGATAATGTGGCGCATTGAGGCATGGACCAATTTGCATGCGCTTACAAGCAGAGAGTAATTTTCCTTTTGTATTTTCAAGTACAATGAGTTAATTGTTATGTTTTCTAGGTCTTGTTTAATGGAAGCCCAGTGTTCAAACAAATGAAGTCACTGAAGCCAGACCGTTCCAGAAAATTTTATCTCTCTGGTCAGTGCCTGAAAATATCAGGTTGCAATCGGGTTAAAACTACCTCTAGATACCTCAGCAAATTGCATATTCAAAGGAAAACTCACAACGTTTTGGAAAGTTTTTCTTGCATGGAAACAGATACGCAAAAATTCTTCTCGAGCAAAAGGTTTCTTTAGAAAACAGCCGGACAGTGGGGGCGCATTGTACTGCGATGTGATTGGTGCAGAGTAAAATGACTCGATGACGTCTGGGCACAACACTATTTATCCCAAGCATTTGATTAATTACTGAGTTTGGAAGATGCGGTGAAGTTAGTTGGCGTTTAACGTGAAAACGTAAAACCTTGTCTTCTTGTTATCTAATTTCGTTGCAGCAGTGAGACGAACGATAATGGCACTGTTGAGATGCAAGGCATGCGTGTTAGCAATTGTACAGTTCGCCGCCATTTCAGGTACGATGTAGTACTACAAGTCGCAAGGCTTAATCTGCTGTCGCTTTGCCAAGCGTCAGTATGAAATATAAGCACGCTAAGTTTATCCTACGCTTTCCCTTTATCGGGATTTTGTTTGATACAAGTGTTCATTAGTACATTTGTTTCTTAAAGGAACCTTTCTTTCGCTTCGCCCGAACGCATTTTGATCTTACTTGCCAAGAAAACGTGGTGAAGTGACTTTGTTGTTTACTTGCCGCGGGTCCAAGTCCTCTTCAACGATTTTCTTCCCTTTGAACTACTTCCTAAACGAGCTTTTGAAGCGTTTATTGTTAACCGCAAATGTGTGTTGGGGATATTTGGAAGTGTATTAAAGACAAAGCCTAAAAGCGAATGTTTAACTCATTACTCTTTCGATCGTTTTGTTTTGAGCACAATTTTCGCGCGATGCAATTCACAGATAGAAATAGATGGCATTTACAGATTTTTGTGTTTTTATCGTAATAAAACGCATTCATCCCTGAAGTATGAATGAAACGTAAATTCTTTTCGCGCAAATTTATTTTCTTCCGGTGAATGAGACCTGCCCCAGAAATATAGAATTAAAATGGACATTTTTATTCGACCATAAGCGTGTCAACCCTTTTGCCGTGGGGTTCTATTTTGTGCTAATTAAGTCTTTGACAGAGGCGCCCTGTCTTCTCACCCTATGTGTTCATCGTCTTCCACATGTCGGGCTTCAGCTTTATTGTTGTAATTTAAGAAGAAAGCATTTCTGTTTTTAGGACTAAGTAATAGAGACACGAGCTTACTATACGATGGAAATAGTTGAGCTTACACCACGCTCGAGACGACAATAAAGTTATTTTTTGTGGCCAGTGTTAGGAATAACATATCCGCAAGTATGGTTTTTTCCTAATTATTATTCCTTATTGTACTGATCACAGAATTTTCGGATCATTTCGCGAACTTAATTACATCCTTTTCATTTGTAAAGGTGTGAATAGCGGCGTTAGGTCTTTGTGCGAAGGTAATCGCCAGTGCTCTTCGTTGCAACACCGTCAGCCTAATCCATTGAAGATTATCAACAATGAAATTCAGGTTTATTGAATGTCGAGATCATAGCAAACATTCTCCAGAAGCAATACCAGAGTCGGAAGGGGTATTAATTTTTTTTCAAGGGACCAGTATTGACCGAAATATCGGGAAATGTCCATAATTATCCCCAACGGAGGTTATTACAACGTGGGTTCACAAAGCAGCGGAAATGACTCATTTTCCAACCCCAACCCAGTAAATTGGTCTAAACGTGCTTTATTGCAGCTAAATGATTAAAAGTGCTGGTGGAATTTTTATGCCTCCTTTGTTGTACACAATCTGAAGGATAATAATTAATGATTTTATTACATTTATAAATTTCTGATTGCATCGTAAACATGTATTACTCTTTAGACCTCTCTCGTATACTATTCTCAATTTTAAAATAATAACAGCTGATCTTAAAGTATCTTCAGAATTTATACAGTATATGTTTAAAAGAACATTTCTGTTATATCCAAACCCTTTGCATATAAATTACAATTAACAGAACAATATCCGAAAAGAAAAAGTATTTTACTCCAGTGGTAGCAAAGTACTCAAAGCTTTTTTATGGTTTCAACAATTCTGCCTCCAATACAAATTTTTCTGCCTACAATATTATGATCATAGACTCTGGCTATGTAACACACAAAATCAGGTGTCTTTTCCACAAGTTGAAATTTGTAATAACATGGCTTCTGCCTATATTTGTGTTTTAATTTAAGGCAAATTAAGGCACAGATAAAAGCTGGGTGAGATAAGTCTTGGTTTACTAAAGAATATAATTTACAGCTCAACAATATAGATTTCCTTGTGATAAGATGATTGCAGATTTTGGAAAAGTTGTGTTCAATATGGGATAAGTGGCACCCAGGTTGTTTTCCATATTTGCATAAAATAGAAACTATGAGTAACTTACTCAGTAAACTTGTCAACTAGTTTGAACATGCCATGCTCGTGATAACTGGTTGCAACAAAATAGTAATGACTGTCATACCAGCTGGTGCAATTAGCTGTTATTTAGTGTCATAAGAACCCATTTACAAATTAATACAATTAAGGCTGTTATTGCTAATACAGGAAAGTCAATTATCATTAATCAATGTAATTATCTTTTCTATAAAAAATATATTAAAAGACATCTATTCAAAGTAATGATGCTTAGCGGGTGTTTCATGTAGTAATTCTCTTTTATCATAAAATGTGTTTAATTGGTATAATTTTAATATAGAATTTGCCTCTCAGCTATTCAATGTAAGGGGTTATTATTATTATTTGTATTATTTTGTATTTGAAGTAGAAAGTCGTAAACATTTGTTGTCAGTCTTACAATTCTAGATAATCTACATACAGTGGAACCTCGATATAACAAACGCCCAAGGGACTGGCAAAATATGTCCGCTATAACGAGGTTTTGTTATATCAGGGTTCTTCTCCATACATTTTACTTTTCCTGGGGCAAAGAATACCGTTTGTTATACCACGGACTTCCTTAAAATAATAGAGGTTTGTTAAATTGGGGTTTGAGTGTATTATTTTCTGTCACCGAATTTTGAATAAGTGCTACATTAATCCAAAAGAAGCAGATGTCCTAAATCTTAACTGGTATTGTTGACCATTTTTAATCTGTTTTGGGGTGGTGGATGGTACTTAGAAAATCTTGGGTCTGGGAAACTTTTTATCCAATCTCGTAGTCTTGGAATTGTTTTTGATAATTCACAGAGTGTCATTTTTGTGTTTTTCTCTCTGTATCAGAGTTTAAAGTCAATTTGAGTCTCAGTCTAAGATTTTCAAACAAGGATCTCTGCCTCTCATAAGGTGTGGATTTAACCATTTGTTATCCCTTCTGTTTAATGCAGAGTGCATTATTGGGATGGTTGAGGGGTTGCTGTCTGCCAAAGCACTAACACACTTAAGTGCTAATTAAGAATGTGCGCAAAAATTTTCCAGTCGATAGATTTTTCTAAAATTTTTACTGCAGTCAGATAAGGAGTTACTCGTGTCAGAAATGCAAAAAAACCCAAAAAAACTGGGGGTCACCAACTTTGTTTCAGAGATAAAGAGTGTGGGAAACTACCCTGATTTTGAAAAATTGGCACACGTAATTCAGCATGGTCTACTTAAAAATATTGAAGGTGAGTCAACGGAGGCAAACAATCTTAGTCAGATTTCGTAGAAGTGGGTCTGTTGGGTAAATAATTCCAAATGTTACCAACGCTNAAAAAAAAAATAGGGGTCACAGAACGTCCAAGATGGTTAAATCCCGGAAAAGCTATAGCAGTGGCCATCTGCCCTATCAATTTTCATTTTATTATTTAGTGCACGCGCTCATGTATGACGTGGCATGTGAATTTGCGTGCGCAGTAACGCGGAAACAATAAGCACGAACGCCCTTAAGCAATAAGGTGTAAACTTTAAGGTTTGTTCAGTTAATTAGGTTACCATATACCAAGTATTTTGAAATAAAATAAATTGCTGAATTTTTCACAATCTCTTAATGCAAGCATCTGAATCACCTTTTGAAAGCTATAAGTCACAGGGAATTTGTTCATTTTGCCCTCAAATTTGGATAGTAGCTAGTTTAACTTGTAAACAAGAAAATGGTGTCCGCAAATTTTTTATTTCGGAATATTTTTTCCTTTTGTTGTTTATTCCTTCTTTTAATTTTGTCTGTGAAAGAGACCAGAAAGTTCATTTGCAGCCCAAACTTTCCCCCATTAGTGGGATTAAAACTTGTAAAATTGTAAATCTGTGACGAACAGAAACTCCTCAAATATTGCTGCAGGCTCTCTGGCAGTTACTGAAAGCACAAATTAATTTAATCAGTCTTTGTGGGGACTTGTTCATCGATGTAGAATTAATCTCAGTCCATTAGTGCTGTTTACTTTCACTTTTCGTTGAGAGGCTTTTCAGTCTTATTTATCATTAATCATTTATTTGTATTAATCATTTTTATTATTTATTAATTTTAAGTGGTTTCATTGCTATTACACCAAAGGTGGCAACAGTATGCAAACATGCTATTCTGTGACTATTTGATAAGTTAATTAGTTCTTGTTTATCAGTGAAATAAAAATTTGTGTTTTGAATAAGAAAAATGGTTCCTTCATGTTTTCCCTTTATCTTCCATTTCTCCAGCTTTAGACAAAACAATCACATCTTCCATGTTTTCGAGAAAACAAGGGTATCATGTTACATTGCTTTGTGAGGAAAGCAAAAGTATCAAGTTACAAGCTTGTGCGTAAAAAATAAAATTGTCATGTTTGCTACTTCAACAAAATAGCGAATTTGAACTAAACGTAAAACACCACAGTAGAATTCAAAGCTGTCTTGATAAGTGGTAATAAAATAATTGTAACTTATTTTGGACCTTGAATGAAAATACACACATGACGTACACACTGCCAAGCTTATGTCTCATCGAGGTTTCTGTCTGTTCTTATTCTGAAAGGGGAAAAGCATTAGCTGAATACCAAAGCCAATACAAACTGGGAGTGAATGGCAGGGGAGAGGGACTCTGTAACAGAGACACAATTAGTACTATGTGTCAGAGCTTGACATTGCATTCTGCACTATCTGAGATTGACTCATAAGTTCATGGGCTACTTTACATGAACTTTAGGAAGAAAATGGCTTCTTGTAATAACTTTTGAAGTCTTCTTTCCAGGAACATTTGCTTCGACCAAAGCACCACCGTATTTTATTGAAGAACCCTCAGACACGTATGTCAAGAAAGGCAGACCTGCAGTCTTAAAATGTCAAGTGGGAGGCAACCCAAAGCCGAGTATAATGTGGAAAAGGAATGGTAATAAGGTGGATTTGACAAGTGACAGTCGCAGGATGATTAAGCCAGATGGATCTTTATATTTTTCTGAAATTATTCACCATAAAACTCAAAAGCCAGATGAAGGGACATACCAGTGTGAAGCATTTTCACAAATTTCAAATTTGGACTACCAGATTATCAGTAAAACTGCCCGCCTTATTGTTGCTGGTAAGTCAGTGTTTTTAAGGTTAGAATACATACACAATTTGCCAGTTCTATGGCAAAAATATTAAATACATTTACATAATTTTCAAATTTTGCTACTAGAGGTATGTGCTGCACGGAGTTTTATATGACTTTTATTCACACTTGTCAGCATTCCTAAAAAATGTCTTCCAAAGTTCCCAATACAAAGGCTTTTAACACTTGCATACATGTCTTAACCTTGTCCATTCAAACTTCCAAGTCATACTGTAAATATACCACTTATGATGAAGTTAAACAATTAAGAGAATGACTAAACTAATATATATTAAGATATGCCATTTGACAGATACACAAACCATCTCAGACCTGAGTGAACCTTTTATCTTTTATCTTACCTTTTATTTTATGCGCACTTCACAGTACAAATCTGTTTTAATGCTAAAATGATCATCTCCTGCAGCTCAGATTTGGAAACCTTGTATAGATATATGCGTAGGGAAACTTCTATAATTCACGACAGACCTGCCAAGATGTTGGCACACTTTAGGTATATTCTAGTCAGAGTTTGTAAACTTATGAAACTATATTCTTCAAGAATTGAATCTTTCAGTAGTTTATGATTAGTATGTTTGTGATATTGACGGAAATGGTGGTTGATCATTGTTGTCATCATGATACAGGTATTTCATCCAAGGTGGCTGTTACTCCTTCAACGTTAAAAATTCGAAATGGGGATACAGCAAGACTTTACTGCAGCGTAAAACATTCAGCACCCAAAGCTGTTATCAGTTGGAGAAAGAAAGGAGAAAATGAGACAATTACAGAAGGAGTTCGGTTCACTTTGACTCCTAATGGAGCATTGCAGATAAGAAACATCCGTTTTGAAGAACAGGGACAATATGAATGTATTGGTGAGAATACTTTCACTGCAAAGAAACACATAAGCACAAATGCAGCATCGATTGAAGTTATAGGAGGTATGTTTTACACTAAATATTTAGGGTGGACTGGAAATAATTTTCTCACATTTCAGTGTTTCCAATTTCTCAATTTTCCCAAAAATTCAGAAGATAGTGTGAAGGTCATTATTTTGATCAGTTCTGAACATTTTCAAAGATTGCCAAAAACTAATTCGAGATTCCAAATGAATGATGAAAAATGTTATGACTGTACATGTATGTAGCCTAAGCACATTTCAAGCTCAGATGACCAGTTAGAATAATGATAATTATAATCATAATTTAAACTGATATGTAATTCAGAACTTTAGAGTAATGTGACTAGAACTTAATAATAATAATTTAATAGTATTTTATTGATTTATAGTGCGCTTTTTAACATACCAGGTGATCAAAAGCGCATTACAACAAACTTAACAAACTTAACGAAAACAAAACATTCATTACCTAGCACTTTTCAAATAGCCTAGATGTAACGCATTTGCTATATAGCAACCATTCAAATTTCTGCATTTAACTGCCAGCTCTCCAACTTTACCAGTCAGTCATTGAAGTTGCCTGATGAGTGTGGTCCTTATAATTTTGGACCATACAAAACAGAACTGTTGCAATAAAATGGTGATTACTCCTGAAGCCTAAATTTTTGTGAAGTTATAGTCTGCTTCTCAATTAAATGAGTTAAGCACTACGAAATACATTCCACTCAAGAAACAAGAATTTATATGGTATATCAATATTAGCTGGAATACAGTGTGCTGTTCTGTGTTTTATGGAAACCACACTTCAATGGAAATATACATACACACCTCATAACAGATAAACTAGGATGTTGTTGGTGGTATATAATGACTTCAGGATTATTTATACAGATGATCGCTTTGACCGAGCTCCAAGTTTTACTGTGAAACCTCAAGATACAGTAGCCATTTCTGGAAGCAAAGTAGTACTTGAATGTATAGCAAATGGATTTCCCAAACCAAGAGTCACGTGGCTGCAAGATGGGTCACCTGTGGTACTCGGGAGTGGCTATTCAATTCTTGGAGAAAGTAACCTTGTGATTGGGTCTGTATCTGTTGCACAAGCTGGAAATTACACTTGCCAAGCAAAATCTGAAAGTTTGAAAGAAGAAGCAACAGCCAAGTTACAAGTGCATTGTGAGTGATTAGAAACAGAGTGTTATGAGATGTAACTTTTTTTGAGGAATGTTCTTGTAGGACTTTAAGCTGCACTGCTGAAGAAAGAATTTATGTAATGCAAAGTGTAATTATCTGTAACTTTGTGAGTGTATGGTGTTGAAAGTTCTGATGGGGGTCTGTTTCCCTGGTCCCCTCAAGGACATTATGTTATGCTAAAGTCTTGCTTTACTCAACTAGCTTAGAAATACATGCCACTTTGTCATCCAGTTAGAAGTAAAACCAAAACCAATTGAAGGGGTGAGTGCAAAACCATGCTAAGTGACGATTTGGGTGAAAAAAAAAAATTTTCGCAAAAGGGCTTGAATTTTTGCATGTGGTCTTCAATGTAATAGAAAAATGCGGCCCTGTATTTTTGTCGCTGGTTTTTGCTT